TGAACCCAGATACTCTTATATGTAATGCAAGCATTCCAAACAGTGTCTTAACTGTGACACCAAATACCAGCTCTAGCTACACATCTTTGTGTCTATGTCACCCTTATTTGTATGGAAATATTCTTCTACTCCCATCATGTTCTAGCTGTGGGGAATGGGCCACTCATACTATATATTCATCTCTTAATCCCCAGTGTATGAAGGCACTGGGAAAGCTGTATTAACATCCTCAGCTCTACATGGGTCAGGACCTAGATCATAGCTGCCCTTGGATCCTGAAATCCATCAGAGAATTTATCATTTCCCTGGGTTCTGGTCCCCAAAAGCTGGACTAGAGAGATGATACCAAGCCTGTCCCAAAGACTACTGATACTCATATCATCTTTTTTTTTTTTTTTTTGATAGGCAGAGTTAGACAGTGAGAGAGACAGACAGAAAGGTCTTCCTTCTGTTGGTTTACCCCCCAAATGGCCGCTACGGCCGGCGTGCTGTGCCCATCTGAGGCCAGGAGCCAGGTGCTTCCTCCTGGTCTCCCATGCGGGTTCAGGGCCTGAGCACTTGGGCCATCCTCCTCTGCACTCCCAGGCCACAGCAGAGAGCTGGACTGGAAGAGGAGCAACCGGGACAGAACTGGCACCCCAACCGGGACTAGAATCCAAGGTACCAGTGCCGCAGGGGGAAGATTAGCCTAGTGAGCCGTGGTGCTGGCCTGATACCCATATCATCTTAACATACCTCCTTATTATGGAGAAAATGGCAGAGGAGCTCCATGCAAATTAGAGGGACACTGTGGATCTGCATGGAGGGTGTGAAAATGTACAACTCAGGACCCTAGCAGCCAAGAGACTCAGCACCAGCTTTGGAGAGTGAGGTGAGACCATACTTCAGCGGCCCAACCCACTGGCGATAAATCTGTGGGAACAGCCTGGCTTAAGCCTATCTTGGAGCCCTGTGGGGATCAGTATACCTGCCAACTCACAGGAAAATAAGGGGGTATGTTTCTCTCTCCCCAGTCACCTGGCACCACTGTCCTGTAACTAGCTGAGAATGGGCAGGCACCATTTTGGATATATGTAACATCTGTTCCATCTTGTGCTTGCATACCTAGTAACAGGCTGAAAGGAGATACCTAAATCCAGCTGGGAGAATTGACAGTGTCCTGAGTACTTTTGACTGTGAGAGCCTTGTGTGGTGAGACTATGAAAACATTGTAGCTGCATGTGAGGGTACAGGGTGTGGCTGGGTCTTTGGGCAGTCACTGTGGGTGGCTCCATACACCTGGGGCTCCCTGATTCCCTGGCAAGAATCATTGCTGGAGGATCTGTGCTCACATCGAGGACTGCATGGATCCTTTGTGCGATTCTTGTGGCAGCATTAATGAATGTTGTACCCACTGGGGCTAGCACCCAGGCATTGGTCTCCTTGGAACCGAAGGAGATGAGTGTGAGACTATTTCAACAGAGATGAAAGAACCTCCCCTTTGATTAAAAAAAAAAATGGAAATTTACCATGCCCAATTTGGGAGTCATCTTGGGCACTTCCCTCACCCTGGGACACTGAACAGAGATCCTTAGCCTCACCCAGCATATGCCCCAGGGCATTCATTGAAGGAGCAGATACTTCATTAATCCACAGAGGCATAGTCCAAAGATAAAAGCCATGGCAGGGAAAAAAAATAAACGAACAAGCATCTCCACAAATGCCTAAAAATAAATGCAGCAATTCAAGAAACAAGACATAGAAGACAACATGACATCTTCAAGGGAACACAACAACACTTCAATACTAGAATGTGAAAATGACAATATTAAAGAAATTCCAGAAGCAGAATTCAAAAAATTGATCTTAGGAGTACTTAGAAGTAATCAGAAGCAAATCCATGAACTAAAGAAATTGTACATGACATGAAAGAAAGTTTTTCTCATGAAGTTGAGATTTTAAAGTGAAATTAAAACAAAATACTGGAAATGAAGAATTCATTGGAACAGAATAAAATGTGGGTAGCCTGATCAACAGAATCAGTGAAGCAGAAGAAAGAATATCTCCATCTCTGGAAATTTTATAGTCAGAAAAAAAAAAAAAAAGGAGAAATTAGAAAACAAAAAAAACAGTGTTGGAGATCTAGGGGATACTATCAAACAACCTAACACTTGGTCCTAGGAGTTCCTGAAGTCATGGAAAGAGAGAATGGATTAGAAGGCCTTTTTAGTGAAATAATTACAGAAAACTTCCTTAATTTGGAGAAAGAAAGGGATGTCCAAGTACAACAACCACATAGAACTCCTAATAGACATGAGCAGAAAAGATCTTCACCACAACACATTGTGGTCAAACTCTCCACGGTAAGATATAAAGATTCTAAAATGAACATGAGAGAAATGCCAGATTATTTTCAGAGGATCTCCAATTAGACTCACAGTAGACTTCTCATCAGAAACCCTACAGGCTAGGAGAGAATGTCAAGATATATTCCAAGTCTTAAGAGAAAAAAAACTATCAGCCTAGAATATTGTAATCTGCAAAACTCGCATTTATGAAAGAAGGTGAAATAAAGACTTTCCATATCAAACAAAAAATGAATGAACTTGTCACCACTCATTCAACTTTACAAAATATTCTTATTATTTATTATTATTATTTATTCTTTGTGTATATATCTATACACAAAAACACAGAAACATGGTCCTCACTATGAAAGAACATGAAGGCAGAAAATCTCTGTAAAAGTATAAAGGAAATCCAAAGTAAACAATAGGAATATGGGAAAATGGCAGGGCCAAGTCATTTCTTTTCAATAGTCACCTTGAATGTAAATGGCCTCAACTATCCAGTTAAAAGATACAGACTGGCTGAAAAAAAAAAAAGAAAACAAAGCCTATCTATTTGCTGCCTACAAGAAACACATTTCACCAACAAAGACACAGGCAGACTGAACATGAAAGAATGAAAAACATGCTAATGAATACCAAAAAAAGAGCTGGTTTAGCCATCCTAATACCAGAAGATTTCAGCACAAAACCTGTTAAAAGAGAGAAAGAAGGGAACCATACAATGAATATGGGATCAATTTAACAGGAAGATGTAACTATAATAAATGTATGCACACCTAATTACAGAGCCCCTGGCTATTTAAAAGAACTGTTGATAGATCTAAAGGGAGACATAGACTCCCATACAATAGCAGTGGGGGACTTGAATACTCCACTTTCAGCAATGGGCAGATCAACCAGACAGAAAATCAGCAAGGAAACAACAGTTAACTGACACCATAGATCAAATGTACCTAATGGATAGCTTACAGACCTTTTTATTCTGTAGTTGCAGAATGCAAATTCTTCTCATCAGTGAATGTAATTTTCTCTAGGATAGACCACAAGTCAGACCATAAAGCAAGTCTCAGAAAATTCGAAGGAACTGGAATCATACCATGAGTTTTCTCTGACTACAATGGAAAGAAGCTGGAGATCAACAACTTGAGAGGCTTTAGAAGGTATGCAAACCCATGGAGATTGAACATTATTCTCCTGAATGAACAGTGAGTCATAGAAGAAATCTAAAGAGAAATCCAAAAGCTGTTGAGGAACAGTTTTTGTTTCATATTATTTGTTGAAATCTTTTCTTAGTATAGAGTTAATCTTCTATGTATAAAGTTAATTGAAAATAGATCTTAGTAAAAAAAATAAGAAAAGGAATAGGACAGGGAGGAGGAAGAAGGGTGGGAGTGGGATAGGAGGGTGTGTATGGTGGGAAGAATCACTATCACTATGTTCCTAAAGTTGTATTAATGAAATGCGTGAAGTTTGTTACCCTAAATAAAAGGTTTCCAGGGAAAAAATCTTTGATCATCTGTGGTTAGATAATATGATGTGTTCATTTTCTCTGTCTTTATATATATTTTTCCTTTCTTTGATTTCCATAGCAAAAACAAAATCAAAATAGGCTAGAATTTCAGTCTTAGTGAATGTTTGCCTCTGAAAGTCTATATGAAACTGTACAAAGTTTTGGCCCAGGCGAGAGGAGAGTTGAGGAGATGAGAAGAAAATAGAAAGAGAATAAGAAAAAACACATCTATGAGAGAAGGGGCAAGTTCCTCCACTACACCACACTAGATGAAAGCTGGTAATAAGTCACTACCTGAGAAATTGTGACAAAGAAATTGTGACAACACTGACAGCATCACTGTTTTTCAAAGTTCCCCATACAATTTTAATATGCAACCAGAGTTGAAAACCACTGATTCAAGCATGCCGGAACAAGAGGGTCTCAAAAAAGATGACCACCTATGCCAGGAATTTCCAGGGCTGAGAAGACTAAAAGGAGCACAAGGCAGGAATAATAAACATATCAGCCACCTGTTAAGGTGAATTATCATGGAATGATCCCCCAAAACTACCAGCAGCAACATTGCTTAAGATCTCAAGAACTGTGTCATGTGTGGGATAGTAAATCGGATTTAAGATAAATTGTAGAGAATAAAGATTAATTTCTTTGACACTTGGGTTTGTGACACGAGATATACATTCACAATGCATCTTGAAGTCCATTGAACATTACTCAAATTCCTTTTTGCTGAAGGGTGGAAAATATGGCAGCAGGATTGAGGATGTAGGAATAATTTTTAAAAAGCACACCTTGATTAATAAAAGGACAGAATTCTTAGTTCCTGAACTTTTGCACCATGTGTAGTAGCTATTGTTATCTTATGATTCTACCCAGAATGACCTCTTTTTACTCTTTGATCCTCTGGTAAGCAGAATAGTAAGGCTTATTGAGCCTGAGAAACCAATCCTTGTAAGGCTAATTACTTCTATGTGAGCCGAACAATAAGAAAAATGATTCCATGACAACCTTTCTTCATATATCTTGCTTGTCTGATGCCTTACTTATTTGACTGTATATGATAAATGACTCTTTCTCAAAACATTCAATATTAGACACTTCCAAGTTAAGTCTGAAAAGAAAAACAATCACAGAAAAAAAACATGTAAATCACTGCTTTTCTTAATTTTTATTACTTGAAGATATTTACATCTTTGTGATCATTATAATTTAAATATTATTAATTTTTCAGTACAATTTTATGTCACCAGGAGTGTGGCTTACTAAAGCCTTGATGGTGGCTTGTAGAATGGAGTTAGGGTTTGACAACAACATGTAGTCTTAAATCATTTCTGGTTAATGTTTCAGAGTTATTAGATAATTTTTTGAGCACAGAAATTAATTCTCAAGTTGAGAGTACAGTTAAATACGTCAACATAATTTTTATACATAACCCTTATTATCAAAGTATAATAAAATAGACATGCAATAAATATTTAGAAAACAAATTTAAACATTTCATTACAATTATGTAATATATATTAAATAAATATACAAAATAGACACTGTGCTTGAAGAGTTGAAATCAAATACGTAAAAATGGATTGATTGACAAGATAATGGAGCTGTTCAGATACTGTCCTTAGGAATGATGTTGCCTCAAATAGTTGGCTTCCCCAGCCTATCCCAGCCCCCAAATTTTTAATCCTGATAATGTTATATGCATGCTAAAATCTTTACTTAATGTATGCTAAACTGATCTTCTGTATATAAAGAGAATCGAAAATGAATCTTGATGTGAATGGAAGGGGAGAGGGAGTGGGAAAGGGGAGGGTTGCGGGTGGGAGGGACGTTATGGGGGGGAAGCCATTGTAATCCATAAGCTGCACTTTGGAAATTTATATTCATTAAATAAAAGTTAAAAAAATTTTAAAAAATGAAAAATTGAGAAAATAATATATAATTCAAGCCAAAGGAAATGACTTCTCTATACCTATTTGTTTATTGGAGAATAAAAAACAAGGTATTTATTTAAGCATTACTAATTGCCTGAATCATTATTCTTCATTTTGCTTTCCATGTTTAGGCATGTATAATGACTAAAGTCTAAAACAAGGAACAGAAACTATTTCCTTTAACACCCAAAACTGAATTCTGTAGTTGGTACTATATCTCTTCCCCATGAGAACCGAGGTTTAATGATCTTCTATAGATGAACCATATCAACCTAGGTACTTCATTTGCTTATAGGTACAAACTGTAGGCTAACAAAGTATATTAGTTTACTTTGATTATATAATTCCAAGAAATTTTAGCTACATTAATTAGATACTTTGAATCCATCCTTTAAAATGTCCTGAGAGAAATCAGTGGTCCTTTTTCCCTAAAAGTGTCTAATTTTTTCTATGTTTAGGTTTCTTATAGAAAATTGTAAATAATTTAAATAATGGATATTTATATAATTTGCTAAATTGAACTAAAATTGTTATTTGATGCCTATAATTTTCTTGGATAATTTTTTAAATCATTGTTTAGTTCTTACTAGGTAGAATAAGAAGTATTTTGAAGGAAAACGATAGGCTATATTTTAGAACATATATTTTATTGCTATGGATTATCAAATGTAATTTTAGATTTCTCACCAGCTAATATAGTCAAAAAAAAAGAGTAGTTTATCATTGGATCTCTGATAGCATTTGTTGAGTATATGTGACTTTAGACTGCGAACTGGAGATTGAATCCAACAAGAGTAGATGCATTTGATACATAAAAAGTCAAAACATCCAAGTAAGTCATGTCCATTCCCATGACAGGTGCGAAATTTTCATCCCCGATTATATCTAGTCATGAAGCAAGTTCTCTTGCCTGATGTACTTACAGTTTCTTGCAGGATTTTATAAAATACATTGATCTTAATCCATAGTTGGTGCCAAATGCAGATATTAGACATAACTGGTGCAGCTCTTACTGATCACCGTCACATTCCTTTGCTTCTCTGTGCGAGGCGCGCAGTCCACAGGAGCTGGATATCTTTGCCTTTGCACCTTTCTGTTGCACCAGAAGAATCCACAGAGCAAACCTCCTCCAATGAAGAGGACCGCAGAGCTTGCCCAGCCGATGAAAAGTGCTGCTCCCAGTTCTCGTTTCTGGCCTGCGTTGATGGTTGGGTTATAGAAATCCCTGATGATGATATTGGCTGTCCAGCACACTGGAATCAGAATGAAGATGCCGGTCAGGATGAAGAGAACTCCAGAGGTGCCCAGAAGGTACACTTTCACCTTCTCATTAGCGCCTGTGCACTGGATCTGCTTCATGCCACAAATGCCAATAAGCAGGGCAATCAAGGAGAGAGCAAGAGCCACACACATGAGAGCCCGTGCTGCTTCCAGGACAGGTGGGAGAGCCAGCAAGGAACTATAGAATTTGCACTGAAACCTAACCCTGGCTTGTCGGACGCAATTCATCCAGAGCCCTTCCCAGATCCTTTCAAAGACAATAATGTTGCTGCCAATGAACGCTGATACTCTCCACTGAGGCAGAAGTGTTGTGGCAAGAGTCCCAACCATGCCGAGGAACCCACACACCAGCCCGGCAATTTGCAGTGGATAAAACGCCATACTTTTTCTTTGAGGGCTGGTCTAGTCTGGAATGGTTGAAGATGCTCAAGTTGCAGAACATGGAGAGCGCTGGAATCTAGAGCTGTCTCTGATGATGTTCTCTCTATTGCTTCTGTGCTTTACATTTTAGTCCAAATCAACTGCAACAGCTGATCTTGGCCTAACTAGAAGTACCTGTTGCAAATGCAGGCTGTTTCTGCACACACACACACACTCTTTTCTCTATGGATTATCTACTAGTCATATATAATTAGTTCCCAGCCAATAAGAAGGTACATAGAGGTGTGTCAAGGAAAACTACATTCAACTTTAGTGTTTCTCATATTATTATTGTGAGCAACACTGTAATTAAGTTTCAAAGCTTCCATTGTAGATTACTAATTACAGAGCTGAAAACTTCCTGTCTAACAATCACTCTGATGTAAAAGTATAAATATGTGCTAAGCCACAACTGAAGCCAATATGAAAACCTTGTCAGTTCTTTGGGGTACAATGGAAAATCATTTTGGAAGTAGATTATTACTTTCTTCTAATGTAAGCCACCTTTCTGGTTTTAATAAATACATTTGTATTGGAGGCAATGCCTAGTTATTAGTTTAATACTTCTACTAATGAACTAGTGTTTGGCTCAATAGTTGATACATTGCTTGGGATGCCTGAAATCAGTATTGGAGTACCTGGGTTCAAACCCTGAGTGTTTCTGATTTCAATTTCCTACTAATATGCACTCCGGGAGGCAGAAGGTGATGGCTCACATAGTTGGTTCTCTGTCACTGACATGGGATATATTGATTGAATTTTCAGCTCCTGGATTCAGACTGATTCAACTCTGACTGTCACAGTCATTTGGGGTAAGAACCAATAGACTTAATATGTTTTGTTCTCTCCCTTTTTTCCCTCTACTTTTCAAATAATAAATAAATACTTAGGATTCTTAGAAGACCTAAGCCTGAATTTCAGCTTTTGCATTTGTTCTTCAGATATAGAAAGTAAGAATAAAGAGAACCACTCTTCATTTAATTTGAACTATGCAATTATTATCTATTATTATCTCTCTCTGTTGAAATAATTGTTTTGTATGTAAACTTTCATTAGATATTTCTCCAAAGGCAGTTTGAAACGTATCACATTTATCAATACCAAAAACATATACTTTGTTTATAAATATCAATATAAAGCTGGCACTTTCAATTAGTTATAGAAATAACTAAAAACAAGACAACAGATGACTTTTTAGAGTTGTAAGATATCTTCAAAGCCATCATACTTAAATCACTTACGTGTCAGATATAGAATGTAAGTATTCTGGGCTGATGTCTAAGGTCAACTCTGTGGTAACTGATTCAGGGTCAAACCTGGGTCTCTCTCACCATGCTTACTGCTTCTGTCCACTTGATCCCACAACAAAAGGGAGAAATTCTTTTCAAACATTTTCTTATTAATGAGACTTACATAGTTTTTAAAGCAAGCAGGATTGGGTTGAGGCCATTTCAGATTAAGAGTCAAGTTGACATGTTGACTGCCACTACTTGGCCAGTGCCCAAAGGCTGGGGAGGTCAGGGGTGTCAAAATGTGGAGAGTGAAGCCTTTTCTCCTTTTTTTCTTTTACTTCCCATTGAACAGAATGTATTTTAAGGATAAAATCCTACCTGAAACCAAGTACACTGAACACAAACCATAGGTCCTCTATTTCAGTCAACCTGGAAGTTAGTGGGTATATGATGCCATTCAAATTTTAAAATCATTTAAATTGAATCAGAAATATGGAAGCCATTAAATTTTCAAAGGTTGTTCTAAGGTATGTGAATCATTGAGGAAATAAATGATGTATATGTAGATCACAGTTTCCTAACTTCAGCCTAGGATAAAGGGATTTTGAGGCCTTTGTTCTGAATTACTGAGACATAAGCTTCACCATTCCACCCTGACAGGATTTGCCAACATTCCTGTGAGTTGCAGCTTCCAGCACCTCTTCATTCTAGTTCCTCTTCCCCATTCCATCTCTTTTGCAGTCCTATCTTTATTATGTCCTGGAAGTTCCCAGCTTGTTGTTCTTTTTCAATTGATTTTTTTCTACCAGTTAGAGACCCGTTCTGTATCACAAGTAAACCCATGTGAGGATATTCATTTACTTAGAATATGGAGGTACATCTTGCAGATAAGAATAACCCTAGAAACATAAATAATTTAGGAGCTTGTGTTTTCCTCCTCTCATAGCCAAGATTAATTTTCAAAGCCATCTTTATTTTCCTTCTTTACATTTAGGGGAACATGGTGATTGCCCTCCAACTTTTCTTTGAAACTCATCACCTCTACCACTTAAAGAGTTCTTACTCCATTGATCATTCTCTACCATCTTCATACGTGCACCCTCTCCTTCTCTCTGAGTTGTCCTTGGAAAATAAATAAACTCGCTTATCTTCTATTTTAAAATACCAGAACTGTATTCTCTGCTATGTATGTCCCATACATCTTTTGGTCCACTCCCATTTTTCACTGTTGTACACATTGAAATCTGCTTATCATTACCATCTTGCCAACTAAAACCTTGCTAGAAATGTTATAGATTTTTTACACACCCTAACTGCTTCATCTAAGAAATACTTTCATGATTTTTGCTTATATATCCTTTATGCAAATTTGGCAATAATGTGCTATCATTTCACAAGGCAGAGAAGAATTTTTCCTTTGGAGATGGTTACAGTCTTACCTGAATACCTTAGCTATCATTTTGGGCATACTTTAAAACCTCTCAAAATTGCCTGTTCTACAAAGCCAGTCATAATATCAGCCTCACATGGATGCTTGAATTTTAAATCTATGTAGCATCTGCAAAGTATTTGGTCTAGAACAAGCTCTGGGAAAAGTTTGTTGTTAAAAGTAGTTATATCAGTTGCTTTTGTTATTTTATATTCTTATTATTTCTTACTTACTCATATTCACAATTTTTTCTATAGGTTCCCTTAACCATGTTTGTTATGTTTGTTTTCTTTATGCTTATAGATGCATGTGTGTGTGTGCACACACACTAATACCTCAATACTCTCATGTACAAACTGTCTCTAAAAAGTCTCATACATAGGCTCCACATGTACTACCTTCTGTGAGGCTAATATTTTTAATTAGATTTCCTTAATTGAGCAGCAGAGAGAAAGAGACAGAATTCCCTTATGGTGATTCCCAAATGCCCAAAACAGCCACAGCTGGGCCAGGTCAAAGCTGGGAGTCAGGAATTCAATCCAGTTCTCCAATGTGGGTAGCAGAAACCCAATCACTTGAGTCATTATTGCTGCTTGCCAGGGTCTGCCTTAGCAGAAAGCTGGAGTCAGGAACCAGAACTGGGGGTGGGGGGGATACCCAGGTACTCCTATGTGGGATGTAAGTCTTAACCCTTAGGCTAAATAATTACTCCTGGTTATAAGATTTGAAGCTAGTGATCTTTAGTCCATACCTTTCTGTTTGTCTCCCTCAGATCCGTTTTTCCTTCAATTAATAGGAGCCTATAGTGGATTGTCATGTTCTACCCAGGTGATCATTCCAGCTTCTGATAGTGATGCCAGAAAAATACTCTCAGCAGCGTATAAAGGCCCAGCTGAGAGCCCTAACTAAGGTTAACTTGGAGGAGCCATTGCAGCTCCAGAATCCACTCAAGAGTAACCCGAAGTTTTCCTTTTGTGTCTATACCACAACTTCACTTCTATGTCCCTTCCTTCACTTCTTTGTCTTAGATGAAGATTCCATAATCAAAACAATGCATGGTAATCTCCACCTCAGAGTCTGTTTCCCAGAGAACTCAAATATTATTTAAGTAAAAATCTTTTTTATTTAAGGTATAAAAACTTCATATATTTTATATATAAAAATTGAAAAACATAGTGAATTTTCCCTCCTTTCCCTCCCTCCCACTCACACCCTTCTTCCTCCCCCGTCTCTTATTTACATTCTTCATTTTTTACTAAGATCTATTTTCAATTAAATTTATACACATAAGATTAAACCTACATGAAGTAATACTTCAGCAAATAGTTGAGAAAAAAACCTACTCCTCAACAGTCAAGACATGGCTGTTCAATCGTCTCAATTTCACTTCTATAGATTACCTTTTAAAAACTCTATTAGTTACTACAGATAAGGGAGAACATGTGGTATTTGTCCATTTGCAATTGGCTTATTTCACTAAGTATAATGCTTTCCAGTCGCATCTATTTTGTTGCAAATGACAGGATTTCATTTTTTCTCCTGTGTAGTATTCCATGATGTACAGATATCATAATTTATTTATCCAGCCTTCAGTTGACATATGAAACATGTCATATGTGACATATGAAATATGTGTTGATTCCATATCTTAGCTATTGTGAATTAAGCTGCAATAAATGTGGGTGTACAGATAAGTCTTTCATCTGCTGATTTCATTTCCATTGGGTAAGTTCCCAGGAGTGGGTTGGCTGGGTCATATGGTAGGTCTGTATTCAAATTTCTGAGGTATCTCCATATTGTCTCCCACAGTGGCTGTACCAGTTTACATTCTAAATAACAGTGGATTAGGGTACCTTTTCCGCCACATCCTTGTCAGTATTTGTTGTTTCTTGATTTCTATATAAAAGCCATTCTAATTGGGCTTAAAACCATTCATTATGGTTTTGATAGGCATTTACCTGATGGCTACTGATCCCGAGCATTTTTTCATGTGTCAGTTGGCCATTTGGATTTCCTCTTTTGAAAAACACCTACTGAAATCCTTTGCCCATTTCTTAATTGGATTGTTTTGTTTTTCAGTTTCTAGAGTTCTTTATAGATTCTTGATGTTAATCCATTATCAGTTGCATTTTTTGCAAATAATTTCTCCCATTCCATCGAAGAACCCAAATATTGATTGATGCTTTATTCTACCTTATTAAATATGCTTCCTGTTATAACATTGTTGTCTTAGTCCAGCCCTTCAACATTCTTTCTTGCCTCATTTCCATAATATCTTACCTAGTCTCTTTGCCTTTGATCTTATGACTTTCTGATCTGTATGCCATTGGAAAAGCATAAAAACCTTGTTGAATTAAAATTCTGAACATGATATTACCTGCTTGAAATTTTTCACTTCTACATTTTCTTCAAATGAAATCCAAATCCCTTAACAAAATACAAAAGAGAAAGCCCTTCAATTGCCTGCCATCCAATTTTGAAACTGAGCTTCTGATCATGACTCTATTTTCTATCCTCACAGATCTACATTTTAGGGAGTGTGCTGAATATTAAATAAGTGATTGAGAAAATACATGACATCAAAAGTTCATATATATATCTATCTGTAAAAAATGATGTATAAATAGAAAACCATGAAATGATGTTAATTTTACTTACAGGGTGAAGGATTGTCTGCTGAAACAATATTTAAGCTATAACCTGAAGTTTGAGTAGAAATTGACAGATAATCAGTCAGAGGAAGATAAGTACATCCCAGACATAAGAGGCTTCCTAGATAAAAACAATGACATTAAACGGAACTTGAGTCTAATAAAAGGTAAGACATTGATCAAGAAGTGGATAAAGATTGACATGGGACACAGACATAGGTAATGTTCAGAGATGCAAGGCCATGTGAACATATGTTTTAATTTATTTTTAAGGAATAAAAATTTCATAAATACAACTTTAGGAATATAGTTATTCTTTCCACCATACCTGTCCTCTCACCCATACTCCTACCCCTCTTCCTCCTCCCTCTCCCTCTCCCAGTCCCATTCTCCATTAAGATTCATTTTCAATTAACTTTGTACACAGAAGAACAACTTTAAACTAAGTAACAATTTCAACAATTTGCACAAACATGCACACACACACACACAAAACACTCCTTGAGAACTAGTTTTACAGTTAATTCTAATAATACAACTCTTTGTGTACAGCTCTCCTGCTTGGGGAGTTAGTGCACAGTGATTCCTGTTGTTAATTTAAGAATTAACACTCTTATGTATGATGTCAGTGCTCAAGTCAAGGCTCTTGACTTGAGCTGCCAAGGCTATGGAAATCTTTTGAGTCCACAACTCCATCAGTATTTACACAAGGCCAAAAGCAAAGTGGAAGTTCTCTCCTCCCTTTAGAGAAAAGTACATCTTGCTTTGATGTCCACTTCTTTCCACTGGGGTCTCACTCATAGAGATTCTTCATGTAGGATATTTTTTGCCACAGTGTTTTGGCTTTCCATTCCTAAAATGCTCTCTTGGGCATTTCAGCCAGAACATAATGCCTTAAGGACTTATTCTGAGGTCAGAGTGCTATTTAAAGATATTGTCATAACATGAGTCTGCAGTTCTGCTTCCCATGTTGGATCATTCTCTTCTGTTTAATTCTATCTATTATTATTATCAGACACTTGGTCCTGTTTATATGATTATATTAGTACTTAATCCTATCTATATGTTCATGTTAACACTTAATATGATTACTTTAACATTTAAGATGTCATTTTTGCTACCCAGCTTAATGAGATTTGGAGTCCCAGGATAAGTTTTTAAATTGTACCTATAGAAGTTACACCATAGAGGGGCAGGCACTGTGGAGTAGCAGGTAAAGCTGCCACCTGCAGTGCCAACATCCCATTTGGGTGCCGGTTCAAGGACTGGTGGCTCCACCTCTGATCCAGCTCATTGCTATGGCCTGGAAAAGCAGTAGAAGATGGCCCAAGTCCTTGGGCCCCTCACCTGAGTGGGAGACCCAGAAGAAGCTCCTGGCTCTTGGATTCCAATCAGCAAAGCTCTGGCCTTTGCAGCCAATTGGAGAATGAACCAGTGGATGGAGACCTCTAACACCCTCTCTGCTTCTCTTTCTCTCTCTGTGTAACTCTGACTTTGAAAAAAATAAATAAATCTCTAAAAAAAGAAGTTAGTGCATAGGAATGTATGCAGAACTATCCAGCTTTAAAGTTACAAGCTTCCTTCTCCCTCTCTTATTTGCACTCTTATTTTTTAATGAGCTCCATCCTCAATTGACTTTATACATATATGATTAACACTACGTTAAGTAAAGAGTTCAACCGATAGTATGAAAAAACAATAAAACAATAAAAAACAAAACTATTTCTCGACAGTCAACAGAAGGGCAGCTCAGGCCATCCCTTCTTTAAGTGTAAATTTCACTTACATAAATTTCATTTTAGGTGCTATATTAGTTATTAGTTCTCACAGATCAGGGAGAGCATATAGTATTTGTCCCTTTGGGACTGGCTTGTCTCACTAAGGATGATATTTTCCAGATTCATCAGTTTTGTTGCAAATGAAAGGATTTCTTTTTTTTCACTTCTGTGTAGTATTCCACAGAGTACATATCCCATAATAACTTTATCCAGGCATTTTGACAGACCATTTATGTTGGTTCCATGTCTTAGCTATTGTGAATTGAGCTGTAGTAAACATGGGGATGCAGATAATTCTTTTATTCATGATTTCATTTTCCTTGGGTAAACCCCCAAGAGTGGGATGGCTGGGTCATACAATAGTACTATATTCAGATTTTTGAAGTATTGCCATACTGTCTTCCACAGTGGCTTTACCAGTTTGCATTATAACTAACAGTGGATTCAGGTACCTTTTCCACACATCCTTGCCAGTATTTGTTGTTTCTTGATTTCTGTATGAAAGCCATTCTAACTGGGGTGAGGTGAAACCTCATTGTGGTTTTTATTTGCATTTCCCTGATGGCTAGCGATCCTGAACATTTTTTCTTGTGTTTGTTGGCCATTTAGATTTCCTCTTTTGAAAAATGTCTGTTTAAGTCCTTGGCCCATCTCTTAACTGAATTGTTTGTTTTGTTGTTGTGGAGTTTCTTGATCTCTTTGTAGATTAAGGTTGTTAACCCTTTATCAGATGCATAGTTTCCAAATAATTTCTCCCATTCTGTTGGTTGCATCTTCACTTTCCTGACTGTTTCCTTTGCCATACAGAAACTTCAGAATTTGAAGTAATCCCATTTGTTAATTTTGGATTTTTCTGCCTGTGCCTCTGGGGTCTTTTCCAAGAAGTCTTTGCCTGTGCTAATGTCTTGCAGGGTTTCTCCAATGTTCTCTAATAATTTGATGGTGTTGGGTCAAAATTTAGATATTTAATCCACATTGAGTGGATTTTTGTGTAAGGTGTGAGGTAGGGGTCTTGCTTCATACTTCTGCATGTGGAAATCCAGCTTTCCCTGCACCATTTGTTGAAGAGATTGCCCTTGCTCCAGGGATTGGTTTTAACTACTTGATCAAACATAAATTGGCTGTAGATGTTTGGATTTATTTCTAGCATTTCTATTCTGTTCCATTGGTCTGTTTTTGTACCAGTACTGGGCTGTTTTGATTAAAATTGCCTTGTAGTATGTCTTGAAATATGGCATTGTGATCCATCCAGCTTTGTTTTCGTTATATAAGATTGCTTTAGCTATTCAAGGTTTTCTGTTTTTCCATTTGAATTTCAGCATAATTTTTTATATATCTTAGAAGAATGTCTTTGATATTTGATATTGCATTGAATATGTAAGTTGCTTTTGGAAGAATGGAAATTTTATAATGTTGATTCTTCCAATCCATGAGCATGGAAGATTTTTCCATTTTTTGTATCTTTTTCTATTTCTTTCTTCAATGTTTTATAATTTTCATCATAGAGATCTTTGAAATCCTTGGTTAAATTTATTCCAAATTATTTGATTTTTTGTAGCTATTGTGAATTTTAGAAGCTCAATCTCAGCCTTGGCTTTGTCTGTTTATACAAAGGCTATTGATTCTTTTTTATTGATTTTATATCCTGCTACTTTACCAAACTCTTCTATGAGTTCCAATAGTCACCTATTGGAATCTTTTGGATCCCCTATATATCTATATATAATCATATTGTCTACAAATAGAGTTACTTTGACTTCTTCCTTCCCCATTTGTATCTTTTTGATTTCTACTTCAATGGTTCTGGCTAAAAACTTCCAGGACTAGATTGAATAATATATATTCAAAATGATGATGCTGGCCATGAGTTTGTCATAATTTTCCTTCAATGTGTTGAGGAATGTTCCTTCTATATCCAATTTGCTTAGAGTTTTTATCATGAAAGTGTGTTGTATTTTACCAAATGCTTTCAGCATCTATTTAGATAATCATATGAGTTTTGTTCTTCAGTTTGTCAATATGATGCATTACATTGATTGATTTGCAAATGTTGAACCATCAATGCATACCTGGGATAAATGCCACTTTTTCTGGATGGATAATCTTTCTGATGTGTTTTTGTTTGTTTGTTTGTTTGTTTTTTTTTTTTTTTTTTTTTTTTTTTTTTGGACAGGCAGAGTGGATAGTGAGAGAGAGAGATCTGATGTTTTATTAGATTTGATTTGTTAGAACTTTGTTAAGAATTTTTGCATTTTGTTTATCGGGGAAATTGGTCTGTAGTTCTTTTTCTCTGTTGTATCATTTTCAGCACTAGGAATTAAAGCGATGCTGGCTTCATAGAATTTGGGAGAATTCCCTCCCTTTCAATTGTTTTGAATAACTTGAGGAGGATTGAAGTGATTTTTTCTTTAATGTCTGGTAGAATTCAGCAATAAAGCCATTCGGTTCAGGGATTTCTTTTTGGGAGGGCCTTTATTATTGATTCAATTTCTGTCTTGGTTATGGATCTGTTTAGGCTTTCTATGTCTTCATGATTCAATTTAGGTAGGTTGTGGGTACAGGAATCTCCATTTCTTCTGTTTCCCAGTTTATTTGCATACAGCTCTTTGTAGTGATTTCTGATTATTCTTTTTGTTTCTGTGGTGTCGTTGCATTTTCTTTTTTATCTCTAATTTTATTGATTTGGGTCTTCTCTCTCCTTTTTTTGGTTTGGTGGACCAGTGGTGTGTCAATTCTGTTTATATTTTCAAAAAATAGCTCTTCGTTTTGCTGATCTTTTGTGTTTTTTGGATTTAATTTTATTGATTTCTAATTTTAATTATTTCATTTCTCCTACTAGTTTTGGGTTGGTTGTGTTTCTAGATCCTTGAGATGCATTGATAGCTCATTTATTTGGTGCCTTTCCAATTTCTTGATGTAGACACCAATTGCTGTAAACTTTCTTCTTAACACTGCTTTTCCTGTATCCCATAAGTTTTGATATGTTGTATTGTTGTCTTCATTTGTTTACAGAAATGTTGTGATTTCTCTTTTGATTTCTTCTGTGAACCACTGTTCATTCAAGAGCATGTTGTACAGTTTCCATGTGTTTGCATATGTTCTAGAGATTCATGAGTTGCTTATTTCGATTTTTTTGAATTACTTAGACTTGCTTTTTGGCTTAGTATGTGATCAACCCTAGAGGATGTTCCATGCACAGCTGAGAAGAATGTGTATTTTGTAGCTTTAGCGCCCGTAGCTTGGGCTGTGATCTGGTCTTACCTCACTTTCCGAGGCTGGTGGGAAGGCTCTTAGTTGGTGGAGTCCTGAGTTGTGGACGTCAACGCCCTCCACATTGGTCCTCTGTGTGCTTTTAATTTGCGTGCAGTTTCTTCTGCCATTTT